AGAATTAGGACAGGTGCAAAAAGCCTAAAAAATCCTGAATTACAAGTATCTGCGATGAAAAATGTATTAATTATTAGCAATTGAAAAAGGCGGACATTTTTGAGCTCTTGCGCATAAACAAATTATCGGAATTTAATCGGACTTGTCTTATTTTACAGATTTATGTAATACCTATTTTTTTTGTATAAACCTTTTTTCTCTATGAATAATAATTTTTTTTACGCGAGTCAAAAAACCACGTTTCCATAATTTTGACCATTGTTTTAACAAAGTTTCCCACCTAGTCTCGAGTTGATTTTTTGATATTTTGTTTATAACACGTTTCTGAACAATATTCCGCAGAGAAACTTCTAATAGTATTTTTTTTTTTTCACGAAAAAAAGCTATAATGACTGGTCTATAATAAAGAAGATGTGGACAAATGCTATCAATAAACTCTTCAGACACCTTTGGCCTTATCTCTCTTAATAATAGAGATAAATTTTTCATACCTTATATCTGTTAGGGTTAATGCACACTATAATATCGATCGTGGTTCGGTCTCGGTCCGATCTCGGTCTGGTAAAGTCATGTTCACATTATACGGATTCGACCGGAACTTGACTGTTACGGATAGTATGAACGCACACATTGTTTCTTACTTAATAATATTTTACCAGACCAATCTATTTAAATATAAGTATACTCCAAATGCCTTCTATCTAAAAGAGTACTGTTTAAAAAAATCGATTGTTTTTCTAAGCACAGTTTTGAATTTCAAAAATTTCCTGCTACTTTGGCCCTTACTACTTTTTTCTAGGTATGAAAGTGAAAAAGGTTAAGGGGCAGAATGTTATATAATTAATCTTGTAAGGGATTTAATTGAACACCTGGAAACAGATCCAATTGAACTATCGTTGTAGTCAGTAATATAGTAGTGGACAGTAGATGTTAAAATAAAAATGCTATTTATAAAAAATATTTTTACCGATCGAGTTTTCAATTCATCAAATATCCTCTTCAAGTTTATAAATATCAATATAAAATAAATGAAAATATCTTAAAAAGTTAAACAGAACTTAGCAAAAAGAAAATACAAAACAGAAATATACGCCATGTTTTACGAAGCAATGTAGTTTTGCACAATACTATACTTCCCTGTATTACCTAAATTATTATTATATCATTCGTAATTGCTTGTAATGTTACTTGCTTTATATTTTATATATTTTTTAATAATCCGTTATTTGTGTAAAAGTTGAATAAGGAAAAAAGTTTTTATTTTTGTACTAATTAGTGGCAAAGTTATAGGTAACCAGTTGTATTAATTCAGTAAAAAAAGTTGGTACGGCCCTGGATAATCAATGTATTAATTTTGGATGAACCGTTTAATTCTGAACAATATGTAGTTCTCTCTTGATATTTATTTGCATTTGTCACCGTTGCATCGCGCCGCGCTCCGTTGTTTCTCAGAACATTTCAAGCTAATGTACCTGAAATGGGTAGGTTCTTCTGCTAGAACCCGATGATGATTGTGTGAAGTACTGAATGTATTAATTTGTGTGATCTTTCATTTTGTTGAAACTCTGGTAGTGGTTTGGTGTTTGATATTACGAATGGGGAGTATGCGGATATCCATTTCGTTTAAGGTAATGCAATGGGAATTCTATAGAAGCTGTTCGGAAATATGCTAGAAGCAGTGACGGCCCGTGGGTTTGAATGCAGGGGGGGGGGCGCATTTTGTAAAGAGGACATATATGATACGAGCTGCGGGGGGTGCGGGGGGCGGCAGCTCCCTGCTTAGCGCCGCAGTTGAAAAATTTTGATTAATTTGAAAATCATTGTGTTTTGCAAGTACCCCAAAATGAATACTGTCAGTGTGTAGGTACAGTACTTCCAATTAGATACAATGCGAGAAGTAAAATTTCAACGTGTGGGGGCTGAAGTGAATAATCGATCAACCAACCCAGTTGGGATATAATTATGTAGATTACTGTAATAGTTCATTCTGTATAGCTTTTGAAGTTCCTTTAAAAACATGGGCATCACTAAGATGTTTATCTAAAACGGGATCAATTTTTGCACTATGGTCTATCAGTTCTAAAAATACCCCTTTGTTTACTGAGTCACTTTTTTCATTATGTCCACGAAGAGGAAGGTTACATGTACCACATAGTTTTGAGATATTTAAAATTTTTGATATAAGCAATCGATTTTTCTTAACTGTTTCGTTATGACTATTTATTTGTTCTGCATAAGCACTGCTTAAACAAGAAGAAATCCTAAAAGTAAAAAACTCACCAAGTTATTTTTGTGATTAGGAAAATTTTCATGTTTCTTAATTCAGAAAGTCAGAAACTCCAGTTTTCGGCCAGTTTTCTTCGCCTCCTCCAAACAATAAACATACAAAACAAAAAAAAAATAGATCTGTTTCGTCACAACCACACAACCACAGGGTCTTATCATAAATGTTTTTATCAAATTTGCGAATAAAAGCCGGCCTACTTTTGCACTCTTTCTGCACCTGAAGTAAATTCAACACTGGCGTTGGACGTCCGTTGTTTTTCAATTCGACTTTTTCCTCTAAACTTAAATTACTAATAACATGTTTTTTTTATTTCACAAACCGTCATTTCAAACTTAAACTTATAAAATATAATGTCTTAAAAAGCGCCAAAGCAAAAACAAAACACGTATAACCACACTTCAGTGATACGGGTTACTGTCACATGGAGTCCAAAATAAAGCGCGCGAGCCTAGCGTCGCCTATCCCCTCCACGTGCCAATTTGTCCAATCATAATTATGTAAACATATGCTTGACGATGGACTCAGATTTCACTGTCCGCGATGGACATAACTCTTTGGTACGATCATAGATGGCAGATGGAATTAATCTGAGCTACGTTCACGGCGTACATGCACTTTATGCAACCAACCTAACATCCAAGACATATTGAATGGATGCTACTTAGATTTTTTATTGATTTAAATAAATAAATTATTTTAAGTTTACAGTTTGAAAATATCTGGGGGGGCGGAGTCCCAGAGTCCTCCTTCACGAGCCGCCACTGGCTAGAAGATTTCCTAATCGTCTGTATCCATATTGGAGGGTATTCGTAAGTGTACATCAGCGTTCACGTAATTAGGTCTTAGGTGGCAGAAATCAAGAATATAAACCCCTAAGACAAGTAGACATCAGGCGCGATAGGCAAGTGTTAGTGTTTTTGATGGACAGTTTAAGCACTAGTAGAAAGAATCAATTGGCAAATGTCCTAAAACTAGAACATCCAGAATTATGGACGGAGTTGTGTGTTACTCAAAGGGGAGTAGTAAACTTCCATAATTCGCGTAAGTAGACCACAGAAAATTCCAACATCATAGGTCCTCGCTATTTTCAGGAAGAGTTTAGAGAGAATGTAGGGATAGGTATCGTGAAGGGGCTATTTTTGAGTTCTTGAATAATGACTTATTTGAAGTTGTACCAAAATAGATGGATAGGACCAGGTAGATCTGTAGTATGGCCAACGAGTTGTCCAAATATCACACCTATCGACATCTTTATTTTGTTAAAAAATGAAGTTCTTTCTACGCCAGTGAATTTGAAACATTTCCCGGACAATAACTCCAGACCAGTTTGATAATGTGAAGCGGTCTGTTAATCGTAGAAGCCATTTATGTATTCAACAAAACGAACACAAATTTGAACATTTACTTTGGATTTTTTTTTTAAATTAAGTTACTTTTATTCGTGTTAGTCAGCAATTATGGTAATTTATACGTTTGTAATTTATACCTACCTACTATACTACTACTACTACTACTATACATACCTATTGTAATTTATATTAAGTCGTTTGTTACTATCTTATTGTGGTTTTGGAAAAGGTGGATAATGTCCTTTAAACCCGGCATGCTTTGTATTTTTCCACAGAAACAAAACGTTCTTACGTACAATAATCGTAAAAACTTTATTTGCGGCGCACTGTGAGGATTTCACGGAAAAAAGTCATATATTCAATATACTATTAATGCAATATGCAATGATATTTTTAAATTTCGAAATAACTGTTACAATCAAATCAAAAAGAATTACTTTGATCTGACTACTAGTTTTTTTTTTAAACCGTTTCAAACTCATTACTTACATGTTTTATTGAACTGACTGAAATTTAACCTAAGAATTTCAAGAGGAATATTATTTTATTGCTTGAGCTAACATCTTTATTTTTGTTTTTTATTTAAAATAGGATATTTCAATAAGCTAAAATTGAAAAAATAAACGCTGCAGAGACTTTTATTTTCTGTTTAAAAATATTTTTATGAACATAGAATAAAAAAGCCCTATTTCTCCAAACACTTGGACCTCTAATTTTAGCTACATTTGCCTACAGTTGGAAACCACTACCAAAACATTGTCTAATACCAGCTTCTACATTTTAAATCAATTTCAAGTGCTCCTAAGTGTTCCTTTTTAATTAGTGGCATTTATAACGGAAGGCTACATAGGGAATTAGCTTCGTTCGAGTTCGTAAATTCGGAAGGGTGGGGAGCGCTGGGTGCTGCAACCTGACACGCATTTTCATACATAATATTTTTGGTTTCTAATACATACCTATAGAGTAATACATATTGGTATTAAGTGTTGATTCCTGCATATAACTCAATTTTTTTAGTTTTGATACTTGTACGCCTTTGCTTTTCACCCCCAAATATATATTTTTTAATCTGAATTATTTTATGTACTACTATATAAATAAAATTACAGCAGTCATTAAATTACTATACCTATTAAAAAAAAAACTTTTTTTCCTCACCTCCATACAAAAATCCCCAGTGTGCGGCGCAACCTATCAGATACGAGAAAATATCAAGAGACAACTATTGTTCAGAATTAAATGGTTTACTCAAAAATGATATTTTGTTTAATTTATCCAGAGCTACACCACTTTTTTTGTTGAATTAATGTCATTGTTACCTATAACACCGCCCTACGAAATGAAAAAATAAAAACTTGCTTTTTATTATATCTTTCACACCTTGTATTTTTTTTATTAAGGGTTCTCCGATATTTGTTTATATGAAACTCTTTGCCTAAAATTATTTCTTCTATTAACTGCTTCATTTAAATCCGTTAAAACGGAGACAACCTGTAGCATTTAGAATGTGAATTACTTGCATAATAGCTACTGACATTAATTAGCAACTTATTGTTGATATAAACTATTTTCTAAACGAGGTTTTAGGTTTTGGTTTTTGACCTTCAAGTTAATTAAGAATGTTTTAATAAAAATGTTTGTAGTTAAGTCAAATGATGTAAGATTATACGAGTGACAATTAAATATTCAGTAATAAAAACAATCGTTGAAGAATAAAAATGAAATAACATTACATATCAGGATCTGGTAATGAAATATTCAGATCACACCGGACTTAATAAACAACACGGCAAATTATCTACAGTGTGCACGTATTTCATAATAACTTTACTAATGTATTAATTGGAGAAATAATTAATTAATTTGTTAGGTCACGTATCTGCAGTAAATAATTAGCATTACATATAATAAAGTGATTTTTTTTCGATTGTAACGGATTATATTCTGGAAAGCATGTAATCCATATTTAATTGAATACAAAAAAACACTACAATGAATCTGTATTGAGCAGTATACTGCACCAAAGTGAATTATGATAAATTCAAATATATATATTCTCACCGACTAGTATTTTTATAATAATACATTAATATTTTGATGTATTTATTTGGACAGAATATTCGCCTATATTTAAATAGTAAAAATACCTAAATAGTAGAAAATAAAATTGTGTGAAATATTGCCTACTAGAAAAGACAGAAGAAATGTTTTGCCTATACTGCAAAATTAAATATGATGAGGGCCTCTTTAAAACAAATAAAAGGTAGAAGTAATTTTTTTCCTAAAAAGTTTCCTAAGGAAAGAAATCAGTTTTTGATCAGTTAATTCATATTTATTGAAGATAACTTGGTCAGTACAATTTAAAAAAAAATTGGTAGTGGCGTTTACGATTATTTGAAAATCTTTAAAAGATTTTTATCTGTGATGTCAAATAACTTTTTTAACACATGTCTGATGAATCATAGAGTTCTTAGTGATCGTTTTAAGACAAATCATTACTTAACCTCTTATTTACCTTACCCTTTTATTTATTTATTTTGCGGACAAGATCTAGTTCTGAAACCAATACATTATTAGTTAAACTGACTTAGTAATTTCTCGATAATTACTCGGAACACTTTGTTTTTCTAAGACATGACAAAACAAAAAGTGTCATACATTCTTTTGTAATTTCTATAAATTTTCAATAAATTTGTATTAAAAGGCCTAACCTGCTCCTATAACAATGAAGTCGTATTCTGCACTTATGTCTTCTGCATCATCAATTACACCATCGCCGATATTGAAGAGTCTTCTAATATCCCTAAAAATTTCCTGCACTTGTGAATTACAAATCACCACACTAAATAAAAAAATAATAAACGTCCTAATAAATCCCCTCATTTTAAACCACCTCAAAACTCTTTACGGTGCCATTATTTCACATGAAGTGAAATTTCTTCAAAAAAAAATTCTTTCAAACGTGCCTAACCTTGCGTCGAGAGGAGCACCATCCCCACTCGATGAGTTTGCAAAACGTTATTTCTAAAGCGCTTTTTCAGTCACAAAATGTAAATAAACAATCGAAGTCATAGCTGTTATCCTGCCTACTCAGGTATACGAGAGGAATAATTATTAATTAAATCTAGAGAGCCAAGGACGTGTGTCGGCATGACAATATTACAGCTGCCGTACTTGGAGGTATTTTTATAAATATCAGTGAGCATCAGCAGGTAGGTAGCACAGAATTATGTTTTATATTTAGTTTGCCTGTGAACGATTTCTTCAAAATTGTGGCACACTGCGCTTTTGTGTTAATAAGAATCTTTGTAAACTTTTTAAATTACGAGATACCTTCATTTAGGAGTGTTACTAATTAACACAAATCTTTATTATGCCTACTTAGATTTATACGGTTCAAGCGCAGTATTAGCATAAAGAAGTATTGATAGAGAACGTAGTGAATTCAATTTAAACAGGTCAGGACCAGTTTCGAGACTAATGACCTTTTCAAACACCTTAGGGTGTTTGGAAACGGCGTCTGTTTAATTCTCGTTAAAGCGCAATTTAAAAGGAATCATAATCTAAGCAACATGGGATGATAAAACGGATGAGCAACTTCGTTAAGACATATTATTAGAGAAAATATTTAATAAAATAATATGAATAATCTACTTCAGTTAGTGATATTTGTAAGTACAAACATTTTGAGGTTTGGTGCTTTACTTTCTTGTTTTCTCCAAACGCCCATTTATGATATTTTTAGAAAATTTTTTTTCTAGATACGTATATTTCTAAATTTTTATATACTTAAATATTTTGAGAAATATTTGTCTTTTATCTTTAAAAAGTTTATACTTCTTTATGTTTTGGCTCTTGTCTTACCATTTTACTTTACAGATGTGTAATTAATTCAAGTTAATTCAAATTACATAATATGGTAAATTTTTAGAAAAAATTTGAATTAGTTTGTTATATTTAAATTAAAATAAAGTTAGATGGTTTTCTAGTTCTATATCTACATACAGGGTGCTTCAGAACTTATACAAACACATTTTTTTGACTCTATAGGGCACTCTTACAAATTAAGAAGGCAGTTCTAAAATGATTTAAAAATACAGTTCTGCACGTCACTGGAATTAGTCCACTGTAAAATCTGACCTTGTCGCAAAGCATGCAGTCGGCGACCAGCACGGCGGCAGTGTAAAAAAATGAATGGATAGAAAATTGAAAGAATTTCTTTTCCAAGGAAAGAAAGAAATAAAACTTTATATACATCTATTTTATATAAGTAAGCAAATTCAACTGCCTTTACAGTATTATTATTATTAATTAATAAAATTAATTTGTGGTTTTAATTAATAAAATAATTTCACATACTTAACTGACAACTGTTCAAAATTGTGTCCACCGACGTGTAAATACATTTGGGTCCGTCTTACCCAGTTTCTACGAACTAACACAAATGTTGTGTTGCTTCACCATAACACAAATGGTTCATCATAACACAAAGGTGTCTTGCTTCACCATAAATTAAAACGATATCCATCTACCCCCAGTTGGTATACACGTAAACCATTTTTGAAATTGAAAAACTAATGTAAACACTATCGCAAAAATGTTAATACTAACATAGGATTTTAGTATTTCGAATCGCCTGGGGCCATGTGGAGAGAGAGCGCATTGCGCACAGCGCACGAAGCAAATGACGCTGGAGAATGCAATAGCCCGGCGATGTAAAGGTTGAAAGCACGACTTTAATAATTTTTTTCTCGCAAACTATAAGGATTTTACAATTTTTTTTACGATGTTGACTCCATTTTTCATGACGCATCTATTCCTCTATTTTTTTTTGATAAGTTGTGAATCGCTCTGTATATGGTTAAAATAGGTAAGTAAGGTTAATATGTAAAATTATAGGGTGACAGCAAATCATCTTTCTCAGTCATAATCGAATGAAAAATTCATTTTTTAATCAGCATGTGATGATATAAAGATACCATGAATAAGATTAATTACCCGTTTTACGTTTGTGGCCTTGAACCCATTTCATAGTGCCTATATTATGAAACTGTTATTATAGCACCTAGCTTTGAAAAAAAAATAATGTTTTAACATTAACCCATAAACCTTGGGAGCATCACGATTTCAACAAAACCACCGTAAAAAGTAGATAACATAAATTGAACAAATACCTGCTGTGAGTATACAGGGTGTCCCGAAATTCATGCAACAAAATTTGGTCACAGATTCTTAGGACAAATTTAGGGGACCTTTTATTTTTTATATTTGCCAAATGGCCCCCTCTTTCGGAGTTACAGCCCCCTAAAGTCCGCCCCTAAGAATAATCTTTTTTTTATATCTCAAAACTCTGTTGTACGAGAATCACTAAATTTGGTACACGGAGGTTTATGACATGTGGAATCTGATGGTGCAATGTTTTTTGGCGAGAAACTCCCTTAAGACAATTTTTCGTGGGCCCCCTTGTCTTTGGAGCCAAAAAAATTTAGTCGCATATTTAAATTTCTTAAAAATTATCAGTCCACTAGAAAGCCATTAAATTTAGAAAATTTTTGTCTCTTTATACTTTTTTCGTTAAACACAATGTTTTCGAGAAAAATGTCAAAATGTGATCGAATGCATATCGTGATTCGCCATTTTCCTCAAAAACATTGCGTTTTACGAAACAAATATCAAGAGACAAAAAAGTTTCTAAATTCAATGGCTTTCTAGGTAATTTAAAAAAAAATCAAGTTTGCGACCAAATTTGTCTGGTTCCAAAGACAAGCGGGCCCACGAAAATGTGTTTTAAGGGGATTTCACGCCAAAAAGCGTAGCACTGTGAGATTTCACATGTCATAAAACCCCTGTGTACAAAATTTAGTGATTCTCGTACAACATGGTTTTGAGATATAAAAAAGACTTCTTAGGGACAGATTTCAGGGGGCTGTAACTCCGAAAGAGGGGGCCAGTTTACAAAAAGAAAAAATACTGATCCCCTAAATTTGTCTTAAAAATCTATGACCAAATTTTGTTGCATCAATTTCGGGACGCCCTGCATTCTTTTATCATTATGTTTGTTGCAAACGATGTCTGGTAAACAATAAACCATACTTCAAGAGCTCACTTGGATAAAATAAACTATTTTAATGAAACTTAGTATCAGAGAGTTTTTCGGATAGCCAAATACGATATTCGTTTATTTTTTAGGTAAAACAAAGAAACCTAAATAGTTATTTGCCATATTTTTCATTATTTTATATTACAGATTTTGAAAACACATTGTTTTTTAAATTTATGCCACTCTTTATACTGTTAAAAAGGTAGGTATATTTGTTGTGCATCGTGAATGCGCACAACTTGAAAAAAAAAATTATGTATTTTCTAATATTTTACATATGTGTGTTTGGTGGTTTCTAGTCTAGTTCAATTAAACTTCATTTTCTTATTAAATTTATGACTAAATTAAACATTTTTTTCCAATTTAGACCAACTTATTTTATTTAAAAAATCATTGTCTTCTGAGATATAGCCACACGAATATTGTTCGGCTAAGCTACATTCACAGGGTATCTGAGTAATAAATATAAATTAAGCACCTACATATTTAAGAATGTGGATAATTCATTTTAAAAACTCCTCCCTTAATGTCCGAGTTCAACGATTTTCAGTGAAGATTATTACGTAATTTACATGGCAGCCAGTGAAAGGTAAGCATAAATAACTGGTTTGCGATTAAATAATATTTTCACGTTCCATTTATCTGAAGAATCTAGTTTAAGTCATACTTCTTCCTAAGTGGTTACTAGGTCACAGAGAAATGATTTAATCTGATTAATCTGCAACAAATAATTTACTAGTGGTTTTTTTTTAGTTTAATCTAAATTTCTTTACAGCATCTTATCTTCATATAATAATAAAACCGACACATCAGTTTTATCAAATTATTTACAGTTGCTCTATAAGTTAGGACTACTTCTCTACTTGATATGATATTCAAATTAGTTCTGTTTTAAATTGTACAAGTAGGGTACATATATATTAGGGCCAAAAGGAAGTCAGGCTATTGGTTTCCATAACTAGAAGGCTCACACTAAATAAAATAATACATTTTAAAAACTTACAACTTACATACAACTTTAAATAATACAATAAAAAAACTGATGCATCACTTTCAGTTTTAAACTTAATCACTTTAAGGCCAGACTGTAAAATGAAAAGAATTCAATAAATGAATTGGTTAATACTTAAACACTTAAACTGGGTTAAGTCATAACCGATAATTTCAATTTGGTAAAAACTCCACATGCTCAATGTCACGAAATCATTAGGAGTGATCACAAGCGCTGGTATTTTCTTTACTTTTTTATTAAGGTGTGAAATTTTCATTACAGTGGGGTGAGTTTCTCACACGTTTTAATACTCGCAGAAATTCTATTTTGACATCGAGTTTCTGGTCTGCATTTAACCTTCTAAAACTGGGCACCAAAGATAAAAGAAATAATTTATCTTCGTCTATCTCTTCCACATCCCTGTCATCTAATGCATTCAAAAATGGTTCCTCATATGATGGAATATTTCTTCTCGTTCGTTTTGGCGCAGGGAGCTGAGGTTGTGAAATCATATAAGCATCGTTATTCAATTCCTCGATTTCATCTACTTCTTCTTTTGTAATTATGGCAGAACCGTTATTGCTCACATTGTCCCGATCTTCCATCATCGGAAGCAAAAACGAGAGATTGTCAAAATAAATGTATTTTCGCCGTTTACTAGTTGCTTGCCCAGGTTGCTGTTGTTTGTTTAGTTCTCTCTTGAAACATGTCCTTAAATTCCGCCAGCGCTGTTGCAATTCTTTAGCTATAAAAATATATTTTTTTTTTAAATTTTCACTTCAGTCTGTAAATAATATTAAGAATTTCTTATGTTTAAAGACAGCTTAGTAATTACAGAATATATTTTATTGTTTAGGGGTGATTTATTATTAATATTAGAACTTAGGTTTGAAATTCCATTCTAAGAT